GTCCTCAATTCTGAAGGCCAATATGGAGAATTTTGTCCAGAAACCTGAAGCTAGGTCCAGATCACCTTTCTCTCTTAGCAAATGTGATAACTTTGATAAAATCTTAGAAAATCAGCATTGGAAAGAAACTGGACCTCACTGGGCACTACTTTCTTATTTTCCAGACAGAAAAGCTAAGACCCAAGAAAGCAAAACAACTTTCAAAAGCAGAGAGCAAAACAGCCCCAGATCCTCCCGACAAAAAGCCGGGGCTTTGGGTTCAGGGAAGTACTTTCCTTCATGGAGAGAAATTAATGATGACAGAAAAAAAGACAGAAACAAACACCATAAAAGCCAAAACTTCTACAAGATCATAAAGTAGCCCCATTATGTTTCCCAAAATGGCCTTCTTTTAAAAACTCCAATGTTCCTAGCATTGCAGAGCCTTTAATAGTTGTCCTACTCTTAAGTACCTAAGAGGATACATAAATACTTCCTGTGCCTCTCTTTTGATAGTGTTGAAACAGTAAAATAGTAATATGTTCAGACACTGTGCTGAGAGAAGTCATTTAACTGATAGAGAAATGAGAAAGCAGTGGAAGGATTTGAAGGCAGCTCTTTAATTCGGGTCGAGGCATTTTCCTGATGAAAATTAGTGTTTCTCCAGAATGGAATAATTTCCTATTTAAAGCTTCAGTTGACTTGGCCTGGTTATAATGTGAAAAAGATTCAAATTGCTGATTGAGGGGGGTTGCACAAAACCAAATCCAAACAAAGCAGAATTCCCTTCAAATTGTTCCATCCAAGTTTCCTTGGCCAGATGGCCTCTGTCACCAGCCAGAGGCCCCACCCACCGCGCCCCACTCCACCGCTGGCCCTGGACACGCACTAATGACCCTCAGCTGCTCTGGCTCCAGGCTCACTTTCTCCTACTGCCTGGCCACCCAACCTCGTATCTTCTGTAGAGGGGAAAAGACAGGGAGAGGGAAGATACATAAGAGAAAAAAGCATCCCTTTGAGTAAACAGGATTGGCGGTAGTGTATCAGTTCCCATGGCTGCTCTAAGAAATGCCCCCAAACAGAGTGCCTTAACACACACACACTCCTAGTTCCGGAGGTCAGAAATCCATAATGGGTCTTGGGGAGCTAAATCCTTGGTGTCGTTGGGGCTGCCTTCCTTCCAGAGACACCAGGGGAGAATCTGTCCCTTCGCTTGCCCAGCTGCTAGAAGCTGCCTGCATCCCTTGGCTCAGGGCAGCTCCCTCTGATTTCTGCTTCCATCACCCACAGCATCTCCTCCTCTGCCTGACACTCCTGCCTCCCTCTTATAAGAACCACTGTGATGACACTGGGCCACTCAGATTAGTCAAGAAAATGTCTTCATCTCAAAGTCTCTTTTGACACATAAGGTGCCATATTCACAGGGCTTGGAGTTTAGGATGTGGACATTACCCTGTCTATTACAGTAAGCTTGTTCTTTCTCTTACAGAAGATATTACCTGGTAGTGTCTAATGTTTAATGTCAGACACTACAGAGCTACAGCTATACACACACACACAAATATCCATGTGCTGAATAAGATGAGACAACAAGCCTAGTATCGTTCAAATGAGAGTCACACAGTATAACATCCAAAGTTATTTTATCAGGCTGCGTGCATGTTAAATCACTTCAGTCATGTCTGACTCTTTGCGACCTAATGAACTGCAGCCCACCAGTCTCCTCTGTCCATGGGATTTCCCAGGCAAGAATACTGGAGTGGGTTGCCATTTCCTCCTCCAAGGGATCTTCCTGACCCAGGAATCAACCTGCCTCTCTTGGGTCTCCTGCATTGGCAGGTGGTTCTTTACCACTAGCACCAACTAGGAAGTCTAATTATAGTTAATTTCCAGTGGTAAAAAGAGCAAAATAGAACTGATAACCTGTGGAACGCACTCACCTCTCAATACTTCCCAGGACCTTGGAACCACTAAAAAGACAAAAGCCCGAATAATTTGGCAGTCCTGTCGGGGGAGCTGTGCATCACTGGGAAGGGTCAGCAGGTGACATGTCAGCGTGTGAAATGTCTCTGCTTTGGAGCTGGGACAGCGCTGCACCTGCCAGCAACAGGAAGAGCGTGTCCCGTGGAAGGGGTCTCCAGGCAGCCGGCTCGTCTTCATAAAGCCCACCTCCCCCTGTGTGATCAGAGGGGAACTGCCCCCTGCAAGTGGGGCTGAGGGAGTGTGCTGTGGTCACGTAACTGGTGCAGCTACCCTGAGAAAGGGGAGGGTTATAAGAGAACTGACAGGTACCTCGCAGGAGTGGATAAAGGAAAAGGGGGAGATGTTAGGACTGAAATCTACTCATTTCATTCAACTCAAATAGAAGCATTCTGATGCTAATCATTCCATCCTCACGCCCAGCTGTTGCTACACTGGGCGGCTTGGCTCTCCGTCCCCATGCAAACATTTAACCGCTTAGACTCTTATCCAGGCCACAGTCTCCGTCTAGTGAGTGGAACCAGTGCCCTTACCCACCCAAGCCTTTTCTTCCCGAGAATACCCCTTATCTCCCAAAACACCACACTGTCCCCTTCCGCCTCGTTTCCATCATGACAGAAACATGCTCTAACATCCCCTGTTGTTTCAAGCCCCCTTCGTCCCATATCCTCCACATGCCACCGCCTCCAGATCTCTCTTCCCTGCTACACCCCTCAGAAGCATCTCTACCCTGTTACCATTTGACCTCCTGATTCACCTCTCTCGAATCCAGTTTTCTACCCAGCTTCTCCCTGAAACCTCATTTATCAAGGTCCTCAATGACATTTATGCAGCAAACCCAGGGGACCTCCCCAGAAGTCCAGTGGTTAAGAATCCACCTTTCAAAGGAGGGGATTCAGGCTCAATCCCTGGTCAGGGAACTAAGATCCCACATGCAACGGGGAGTCCGTGCGCCAGGACTCCTGGGCCCTTGTACTACAGCGAGGGAAATTCCTGTCCCCCCAGGGAAGCACGACCATCACAGCTAACAGCCCACACGCTGCAGCGAAGACCCAGCTCAGCCAAAATAAAAATTATGAAAAGCAAATTCGACAGTCTAGGCACAGACTGTGAATGTGCCTGGAAAACGCCACCTGCCCTATCAGAAATCAAAGGATGCTGCAGCCACCGCGTTCCAGCTGCCTGGACAGTCAGCCCTGAGGGACTCAGGTGGAAACAGCGTGCCCACCATCAGGCCGGCAGCCCCAGCAGCCCCCCGGACGCGCCCTGAGGAGCCGCGGGATGAGGAGGCAGGACACTGGCTCCAGGCGGCTGAGGTGCAGGTCAGGGAATGACCTCAGGGAGCCCAGCCTCAGGCCCTTCCCAAACACAGAGACCCACTCAACTCCTGAGCTGAGATGTTGGGTAACCTTTGATGTCGGCACGACCTGATCTTTTTTTTCAATAACCCCTCTATATTCTGGCCTCTCCTTTTCCAGAGCAGTCCCTCACGCTGTCTGAGAGGACGCCTCCCAGGCTTGAAGTCCTCAGAAAGTCCCCTGAATAAAGCTTTAGGTTATGACTTTTTTTCAGTTGACACTCATGTGATCTCTCCACAGAATGTTCATTTTGATCTTTCTGAATCGTGAGTCAGACCACGTCACTCCCTTTCTGCAGCCCCCACTGATCTCCGTCACACTTACTCCCCAGGGAGTGAGTCCTGGGGGTGCAGGTGGTCAGTTCACAGCACCGACCCCCGGCCAACAGCTCCTGGGCTCCAAGCTGACCACCGCCCCATCACCTCTGCAGACGCCACCCCTTGTCATCCCTCTCACAGGGGCTCCCCTGTATGTTAACCCCCTTCCCACGCAACACAGGCGTGGAAGGCACCCTACATTGCCGCTTCCAAAGCTGGCTGTATCTTTGGTATGAAATTTGCTAGCAAACCTCCATCAGGGACTGAACAAGCTCCTCAGTCCTGATGTTGGGGTGATGCTGGTTTAACATGAGGCTGTGCTTTTTCATGCCTCGAAAATTATTGACTCACAGCATAAACCTTCCCAGGCTTCATGGCAAGAGTTAATAGCTCATGATAAAGTCTCCCAGGAGATACTCTTTTGGCAAAATTATTTAACATTCAAGACCTAATATATCATGTTTGTTTACTGTGATAAACATCCTGACAGATGACTTACCTGTATGCATTTGCCTCAGTTGCTTAAAAGTGGTTAAGCTTTATGTTTCCTTAATTCATAAATATCCCTAAAATTCTCTATGCACTTTACAAGATATTTTAAAAGTCAGATTATAGGGATATTACAGTGCATACATTCTTAGGAAAATAAAATCATCTTTAACTCAAAAACTTTAAGATATGAAGGGAATAAAATAGGATTTCTGAACCCATCTATTCATTGCTAATAAGAACTCCCTGGGCAATTCATTAAAAGTAGCGAAGATACATGCTCTTGTGAAGATACCTAGGTGACTAATACACTAGTTCTGTTGATCAAGCTAGCCCTAATGTTGCACTCAGCTTGAAGAAACTTCAGTTTTTTCCTTCCCAACTCTACACTCCTGATCTCCTTTCTAATAGCATTTACTTAAACGGATCATCTAAATTCTTTCTCTGGTCCTTTGAGATGTAAATCTTTTAGAAAGCTTCTTGCCCATTCGACAGCCCAGGTCTCTCCCCAGGACCCAGGAGCCGTCCCTTTTTAAAGGGAACCATGGAGGAAACAGGCGAGGAGCCTAACTTGGACAGGTGCACACGAGCAAATACATGGGCTAATCCCCCGGACGACACCCACCAGATTCAGGAGCAACTGCGTTTGCTCCATCCCTGGATCAGCCTCCCCGCAAAGGCCTCCAGCACTTTCCCCCCAGTTCACCCCGCACTCAGGAGCCCCCCTCCCTCTGGTTCAACTGTGTGGAGCTGACTCTCCTCTATGACAACTGTCTTGAATAAAATCTCCCCTGCCTATTGAACTTGGCCCCGTGCGATGAGGTTACATTGACCCTAAAATCCCAGTACTGGAGATGACCAAGCTTTCTGTACTCACAGGCTTACCATCTTGACCAGGCTGTCCACGGTAGCCAGGATTCCCAGGCTGTCCGGGGTCACCCTAGAGTGGAAAAAAAGCTCTCAGTCCAAAACAGCCAACTCTACTGATTCAGTCAGAGCCCTCCAGGGTTCAAAACCAATTCCATCATTTGCAGCTTTTTGTAAAACAAACAAACAAATGTAAAACTGTAAATCCCAAAATAGGGTTAGAAAAATGATATCATAGTTACTTTTAAAAGTAAAGCCTTTTTACTATGAAATATTTCAGGGATTTAAGTCTGTGAACATTACAGGTATAACAAGGGAAGTACTTTTCACTAATGTAAAATGTCAGTATTTATGACAGGAAACATTTTTAGAATTCTGAACAAACTGTGCAATGTCACAACAATTATGGCTTCAACAACTAATATTTCACTCAGAAATCTACAACTTTAATTCTATTCTAGACATTACACTACAGGAATCCATGACTTATGATTTAACAATTCAATTTATAATTATTTTTAATACGATATCACTTGTAGGCTGAATCTAAAATATGACACCGATGAACTTACCTATGAAACAGGAACAGACTCAAAGACAGAAATAGGCTTGTGGTTGCCAAGGGGATAGAGAGGTGGGGGACGAATAGGTTGGGAATTTGGGGTTAACAGAGGCAAACGATTATATACAGGATGGATACACAACAAGGTCCTACTGCATAGCACAGGAAACTATTAATGTGTGTGTGTGTGTGTGTGTGTGTGTGTGTGTGTGTGTATGCTTAAGTGAATAAGTTTGCTGTATAGCGGTAATTAACACAACATTGTAATTCAACTAAACTTCAATAAAAATAAGAATAATTTATAACAAAAAAAGTTAGTTTTTTTTTTTTATAAGTCCACAGGCTACGCGATCTTCCACGTGGGAGTGAAGTTTAAAGCCATACAATTGTTCCTTTCAATCTAGTCAGTGTGTCTCTGCCTATATTTATAATTTCATTTTAACACAATATTAAACTTCTACAATTTGAATATTTCCATCAAAAGGAAAAGTGAAAGAAAAAGTGAAATTCACTCAGTCGTATCCAACTTTTTGTGACCCCATGGACTACACAGTCCATGGAATTCTCCAGGCCAGAATACTGGAGTGGGTAGCGATTCCCTTCTCCAGGGGATCTTACCAACCCAGGAATCTAACCGAGGTCTCCCACATTGCAGGCAGATTCTTTACCAGCTGAGCCACCAGGGAAACCCAACAGTACTAGAGTGGGTAGCCAATCCCTTCTCCAGCGGATCCTCCTAACCCAGGAATCAAACCAGTGTCTCTGCATTGCGGGCAGGTTCTTTACCAGCTGAGCTACAAGGGAAGCCCCATGAAAACGAAGCCTCACAAAAACCAGGCCCAAGTCAAACACCCTGTCTAGCTCCCAGCGTCCTTGAATACATGTCACACCTAAAATACAAATGCTGTCCTCACCAACCAGACACCTTCAAGGAACATTATTCTGTACAGCCTGGCAACAAGCCCAGACAAATTCTAAAAACTGTAGCATGTTGCACAATGGCCAGTACTGACCAATCAGATTGGAAAAGACCCTGATGCTGGGAAGGATTGAGGGCAGGAGGAGAAAGAGACGACAAAGGATGAGATGGTTGGATGGCATCACTGACTCAATGGACATGAGTTTGTGTAAGCTCCTGGAGTTGGTGATGGACAGGGAGGCCTGGCATGCTGCAGTCCATGGGGTCGCAACGAGTTGGACACAACTGAGCGACTGAGCTGAACTGACCAGTCAGATGGTGACCATGTGTGAAAAGCAATGAAAGCAACTTTTTTTTTGTGGGGTGAGTGTGTTTTATAATTTAATTCTAAGAAATACTTCAAAAAATAGTATCAGGGAATTCCCTGTGGTCCAGTGATTAGGAGTCCATCCACTGAGGGCACAGGTTTGATCCCTGGGTGGGGAACTAAGATCCCACAAAACACAGGGTGTATCCAAAAACAATAATAACAATATCATATTTGTGTATTACGGAATCCATGAGTGGCATCTTGCTGAAAAAATTCACGTCTCAGCCATCATTTATCGGTGAACTGCTACCGAGAGATAACTGATTTCAATTCAGCAGGGCTTCACATCTACTGCAAGAAATCATTCACACATACCACAGCGATTATATGTTAACGAAAGGCCACTGCTAAGGGAACTTGTAGAGAGCCAAGTGCTCTGGTCTGAAATTCGACTTCAGGCTACTGGCAAGGGAGGTTTGTTCCTGGAACGTAACAGGAAAAATGGAAAGAACTGTGTGAACTCTATCAAGGAGCCAGTGGAGAAGGGATGGGGCTTTTCGTTATGCTTGCCCAAGAGGTTGACCAGGTGGAAAGGCTGAGGAGAAGGGACATGCCGTTTTTAAAAGAGATAGAAAAGGAATAGCTGTAAACTTGGGGAGAAGAGTAATGCAGGGACATGTAATTTCATGCTGAAGAGGCACAGTTTGTAATTCTAATCCAAAGATAGCCAGTGTCAGCCGGGGTACTAGAGAGCAGTGTTTCCATTCTCTAGGGTATTAGATGTTTTTTCTTCTTATTTTGAGAAGATCCACACTGATTTCTGGCCTCTCTGCCATCTTTCTTTAACCATGTTCAGATTGCCCTCACTACTTCTCAACAAATTCCATCTTTCTTTTCTTCTTTTTTTCTCCTGGGAAGACTTTCTTCCTTTTGCGTCTGAGTCAGTATAACAAGGTTTCCAGTCAGTGTAGCCTCCTTGTTCCTGCATCTCCTCCTGATGCCGTTTCTATTGAATACTGCAGCAGTTCCCGAGTCACTCACTGGTCACTCTCATAACAGGGGTTCTCTCAAAATCATCCCTTGGTTGCTCTTCATCCATCGTTTGGATAGAGGCCCCTTAAACACATGGTCAATGTTTTCCACGGTTTTAGGACAATGCTGAGTACCAAGGAGAATATCAATAACTATTCGCTGATGGTGACTGCAGCCATGAAATTAAAAGACACTTGCTCCTTGGAAGAAGAGCTATGACCAACCTAGATAGCATATTAAAAGGCAGAAACATTACTTTACCGACAAAGGTCTGTCTAGTCAAGGCTATGGTTTTTCCAGTAGTGATGTATGGATGTGATAGTTGGACTATAAAGAAAGCTGAGCACCGAAGAATTGATGCTTTTGAACTGTGTTGTTGGAGAAGACTCTTGAGAGTCCCTTGGACTGCAAGGAGATCCAACCAGTCCATCCTAAAGGAGATCAGTCCTGGGTGTTCATTGGAAGGACTGATGTTGAAGNGGGATCCAGGCTGGTCACTTCTCTTGTGTTTTCAGATATAAGAGACAAGAGAGCCTCTTGCCAGCAGTAGGGAGAACCAGTGACCCGTTCTGAATGTGTTAGTCACTCAGTTGTGTCCGACTCATCATGACCCCATGGACTGTAGCCCACCAGTCTCCTCTGTCCACAGAATTTTCCAGGCAAGAATACTGGAGTGGATTGCCATTTCCTTCTCTGGGGTATCTCTCAGACCCAGGGATTGAACCAGCATCTCGTATGTCCTCTGCGTTGGCAAACAGGTTCTTTATCATTGAGCGACTAGGGAAGCCCCCTATGAGATTTACCTGTATTCAATTTCTTAATCCTCATAAGAATCCCATGAAGCAGGTAATTTTACTGTTCCCACTTTATATATAAGAAAACTGAGGCCCAGGAAGGTTAGGTAACTTGTCCAGGGTTACAAAGCAGCAGTGGAGATGGGAACTCAGCTAATTCAACTTTAGACACAATGCTCCTAAATGCCTCTCTCTCTGCCCACATCAAAATGCAAACTGTTATCAAAACCAACCCAGGGAAGGCTAGCAAGCTTAATGTGGAAAGGATTTTCCAAATATATTAAATTAGACATATGACATATAATTACACAACTGTGACTAAATTCTCAATCTACTTTCTTCTACTTTAGTTGAAACATGTGCAATTTCAAAAAATAAGTATTCAGCTGAAAAGCAATTCTTACTTATGATGAATTGATTTTGTGCCACAGAATTTCTGAGTTTCTTCCAGGAATGGGAACATCATGGACTAAGTTGAAACATCCCTGCACACGGCCTTGCAAGTGTGCAAATATGAACAAAGTGAGAAACAATTGCGCTTGCAAAAGTAAGCTAATTATTTTAAGTTATTCATCCAAAACAAAGGTCTCCTAGGCCTGAATCCAGTGTTTTAAAGCTTTCTTCTCAAAACCCCTGTGCCTTGAGACTACCCATTGGCCTCCACAGAAGTATCTGACCTAAGACCAATTCCTTTGGTTTTCACCAAAACCAACCTCTTCTCTCCCTCGAAACTCAAATGCTAATTCTCTTCATCTAGAAGGAATCCACTTAATTTGGGGAAATTAGCATAAATATGTGAACGCCCAGTGGTTCCTAAAATTTTCCAAAGGCTTTTGTGTTTTAGCCCGAGGTTACTTTGATAACCCAAAGGAATCCCTACTCAGTAGAATCATCAGGGTTGAAACAAAGGGCATCAATAAACGTGTAGAAAGAATGGTATTTCAGAGAAAATCAGTTATTAAGAAATTGCTTCTTCCTTAAGAAAAAGTTGAAAAAAAAAATTGCTTTTTTTCCACCTTTTCACTCTGTGTGTGTGTGTGCTCAGTTGTGTCTGCCTCTTTGAGAACCCACAGACTGGAGCCCACGAGGCTTCCCTGTCCATGGAATTTTCCAGGCAAGAATCCTGGAGTGGGTTGCCATTTCCTTCTCTAGGATATCTCCCCGACCCAGGGATTGAATCCACTTCTCTTGCATCTCCTGCACTGGCAGGCAGATTATGAAGATTAGATCAAATGTGGGGAGTTTGTCCCCACAAATGTCCCTTTAGCCACAAAGTGGAGGAAGAAGATGCCATTGCATGGACAGGTCTTTTGGAAGGGATTAATTTTTAAACTAGAGATTGCCTGGATCTTTCATATAGAACAAAGGCATTCCACATGGGTTAATTGGGGGATAGGTGAATCTTACTTTTTCAATCATTTTATAATTCATTAAACAAAAATTATTACTATTAAGCACTACTCTAGACACTGAAATTCCAAAGGAGAACTGAACGTTATAACCTTCACTGTGAAATGCGTCCATACAAAAATCATTCCCAGAGTGTCATTAATTTGGTCACTCCCTTTGACAGTAGGGACACAGAATGAATAAGCCAGCCTCATTCAGGGACTCACAGCCCCACAACAGATATATTTCTCTATGCTTATTGAAGACGCCAAGTATGGAACGTGCTGTGCCTCGTCGCTCAGTTGTGTCCAACTCCTTGCGACCCGATGGACTGTAGCCCGCCAGGCTCCTCTGTCCGTGGGGATTCTCCAGGCAAGAATACTGGAGTGGTTTGCCATGCCCTCCTCAAGGGGATACTCCCACCCCAGGGATGGAACCCAGGTCTCCCACATTGCAGGCAGATTCTTTACCAGCTGAGCCACCAGGGAAGTCCAAGAATACTGGAGTGAATAGCTTATCCCTTCTCCAGAGAATCTTCCTGAACCAGAAATCAAACCAGGGTCTCCTCCATTGCAGGAAGATTCTTTACCAGCTGAGCTACCAGAGAAGCCAAAGTATGGGCTATCTCAGTTAAGTTAACCTGGTTTTACAAAAGTGTTGTCATATCTGTTGGAAGTTCAGAAAACTTGAAGCAGATGACCGACTTTATCTTAGAATCAGCACTTACTCACCACACGTGCATTTCTCCTCTTTCAGTTTCATGACTTAACTCTCAGCTCCCAGAACCCAATTTCTCGCTACTGGGAAGACTAGATTCTCCTGCACAAGTAAGTCTGCTTGATGGAAATCTGTAAAACGTTCCAGACAACATCTACCAAAAACGACCAATACATCTCAGCTGGATGTATAGTAAAATCGCTTCATCTGTTTTAGTTCTGATTCTGGTGCACTAATTAAAAACCTATCAATTTTCCAGGCCAGAAGTTCTCCAAAGGAAGAAAACCTCAGGGTATTGCCATGGATCCTGTTTTTCACATACAGGTCCCTGATGTGAGTAAGGAACAACCTCCAGGGGAAAGAGCCCTGAAAGGATGGAAGAGTGTGTGTGTGTTCCTGGCCTCCTGCCAGCGTTTCTGAAGAAAATGGAAAGCAGATTAAGAAAGCACGCCAACTTGAAGATCAGTGGAAAACTGCAATTTCACTTAAAGTAGTAGGTGGCAAAGGGGTGAGATGATGACTAAGAAGAGAGAATGAAAATGAGGAACACATGAAACTTGAAAATACTGAAAATCAGAGGCCTTAACAGATAAGACAAAGGGCGTGCTAAAAGTTTGCTGTAGGAACATACATGCATAGAAATTGGTATCACTTCAAGATACCTAATGGACCACTAATGAAGATCAGGATACATCAGGAGGCCCTGGATGCCTGCCCCCAGAATGGACAGCCCCTTAGAGGCCCTGGGGGCAACCTGAGCAGGTGGAAGTTCCTCTGGGCTTAGAGAGGTCAATGTCATGGAACTCTGATTTCCACATGGTATCTCTTGCAGATCAAATCACTTCAATGTAAAATATTCCAAGTTAAGTAAAGTTGTATAAACATATTTCAAAAGATAGTCTGCTGGTAGGTAGGTCACACCATGCTGCCTTGCAAGGTAAATTGTTTGAGAAGCATAGTGCAGGTATTTTTCCTTTGTGTCAAAGCATCCTAAATAACATGGCTACTTTAGCAGAAGAACACTTGAATTAATCTTCCTAAATGCAACCTGAAAATTTTTCACAATAATAGAATATGAAGGACTGAAGTCAAATTTCAAGCCAAACAGGTTTACTTTGAATTTATCCTTTTATTTCTTAAATTGTGTTTCTTTCCTAATTTCAAGCTAGGTTTGAAGTGGGTCATAAACTATCACCTGAAAATGGATGGGGAAACATGCACAAAAGACCAGAATTCAATTCTCCCAGATCACCAATCTAAAATCTGAAATTTTGTAGTTGTGATGATTTAAATTTATCAGAAAATTCCATCTAAATGAATATTATAATTCATATTTAGCAAAATTTATTATGGTCACTCCAGGTAATAAATGATCAATACTCAGAACATTCTCTCAAGCTAAGAAGTCATACTTCTTTCAAGTTAGACATTTTTAATCTAGATGACATTTTTAAATGATATTAAGTAAACAAGATTTGGTTTTCCTTGGTAGCTCAGTTAGTAAAGAATTTGCCTGCAATGCAGGAGACCCCAGTTCGACTCCTGGGTCGGGAAGATCCCCTGGAGAAGGGATAGGATACCCACTCCAGTATTATTGCGTGGAGAATCCCATGGACAAAGGAGCCTGGCGGGCTACAGTCCATGCTATCGCAAAGAATGGGACACAACTAAGCGACTAGGCACAGCACAGCAGCACAAACAAGGTTCATCTACAGAGGACAAGCCACTTAACATCTCAGTGTCCTAGGCTATGTCTAAGTGATGCCACAGTCAGTGTCAACTTACTTAAAAATTCAGTCATTCATATTTAATAGATAGAAACAGATTCAGAATATTATGTAAAAGGTAACTAGTTATAAAATAGTATGCACATCATACTTCCAATCATATACAAATGTGTACACAAATGAATATGTGTTTATACAAATATACACAAAAATACATATGCACACAAATAATATACATGCAGATACATGTGCAAATAAATATGTAAATGCAACTGGGAGATATGCATGTATGAAAATGACTAAAAGAATATACTTTCTAAAAATAATTATTGCATGATAAGTAAAAATATAAATGAGTACATATACACACCTTTGACTCTCTTTTTAGACCTGGACATCAAACACAACACTCAAAGTAAGTTTTAAGTTTTTATTTCATTTTTCTATCTGAAAATCATCTTGACAGATTAAGCATTTAGACATTTAAGAATTTAGAACATATCATTCTTCATTTTTTACCTGGAGTATCATTCTTGGGATACAGTAGCGGCATTAAGGGGAAAAAACACAAATGGACAAGAAAGCAAACAAAATATTCTCCCCCACTTTATTATGGTATCAATTTAAGGTTCAAAGGCAATTACAGATTAGGATACACTTTTTTAAAAAAATCACTAAAACTCACCATTTAAACTCTTCTAAGATATTAGGCAGAATATTCACAACAGGCTCAATGGTGATTAGGAATTTTGTGCTTGCTCAGCTTTAGTTTGTCTGTTTTAACAAAAAAAGCAAGTTAGGTGTTACTCACTTTGGGCCCTTGNTAAATTATCTTTCTAATTTACAGATATTTCTTTGTCCAGAGTAGAGATAAATGAAGTATCAAAACCAGCAAGAGCTAAAACATTTGATAGCAACTATCCTAAAAAATTACCTATATATTTTGTTACTCTTACATTTATAACAGGATGAAGGAAGGAAATTAGCAATGATGAGAGTGTGCTTGGTAAAACAGTTATGCAGGAATAAAAATACCTCAAGGTGGGGTTTTATGCTCTCTTGAACTTTCTGGAAATCACTTAGTGAAATGAAAGTCATTCAGTTGTGTCCTATTCTTTGCAACTCCATGGACTGTCATCCACCAGGCTCTTCTGTCCACAGAATTCTCCAGGGAGACATAAAAGACTCGGGTTCAGTCTCTGGGTCAGAGAGATCCCCTGGAGGAGGGCAGGGCAACCCACTCCAGGATTCTTGCTTGGAGAATCCCCTGGACAGAGGAGCCTGGAAGGCTACAGTCCACAGGAATGCGAAGAGTCAGACACAACTGAAGCGACTTAGCACGCATGCATGCACCCTGGGGAAATCACTTGAGAACCCAAGAAAAAGACAAAACACATCTAAGCAAGTCACAAACTACATACATTCAATTTATGCAATTTACTTTAGGAAAGCTTCTGGCTAAACAATCTATTTCTTACTGAATAATGCACAATTTTAAATATGCTAGTAGTCTTTCCAAACAATAACAGATTCAATCAGAAAATGAGAAGATGGGAATAAAGGTGAAAAAGGGTATAAACAAACCTGAAGAAGTCACACATGAGAGGAAGAAGGCATTAAAACACAGAAGGTGGATATGAGAACTCAGAATCTACAGTCTCAAGCTATGCTTCTATCATGGAAGGCGGGGTTGGGGGGGGTAGAGTGGCCATGGCCAAAGTCAGTGGAGAAACGCAATAAATCAAGTATGTACGACAGACTCTCAAAATATAATAACTGCTTAATGCTTTTAGGAGAGATTTATATTCTAAGTTATAAGTATCTAAAATAAACATTATAGTGTTTAAACGAAAGAAATTTATATCCCAAGTTATAAGTATATATAAAAGTTATAGTGTTTAAAAAATTAAAGTAGAAAACGCAGAAGGAATCATTTCTAGAAGTTTCCACAGTTGATTTTTATTATAGAGCCCTTAAATTCACTGCTCTGTGCTTTCAATTTTTCAGAAGATGTGGATCCATAAGTTACTCAGTTTAATAGGGAAAAAGAAGATGATGACAAGACTATAACAAGGAGAAGAACCATGTAGGGCTCAAATGTCACTGAGAATTCACATTGTCAAAAAGTTTTATATTCTACCATTTCTGCATTACCAACAATATACCATTTTTCCCCCAGAGAAAAATTAGTTTCACACATGCGTATGATCAGACTCTAACATTTTAGTTTATAATCTTTTTCTTCCTAATGCATTAAAATCTCTAAATAGATAGAAAGTTGCTTATATCCTAGAAATATAAGAAAATCTTACCTGACTAACAACAATAAGAAGAAAACTTTATATTCATTATGGTTTGAAAAAACATGCTAATGAACAGGAAAATGAATCATTTTCTACTCTTCAGAATCATGCCACATCAGAATCAATGAAGTTTAGAAACGTGTTTTACTCACTGGACATTCAGACAATGAATTCTATGTTTTTCTAGAGCAGGTCCAATCCTGCTTCACTCAAGAAGTGGAACAATGACCCCCAAGATGATGAAAAAATGTTCGCTGTGCTCTTCCATTTACACTTCTACATTAATACATAGTAACAGTATTTCAATTATGAACCTCAAAATATGTTTTAATCAGTATCATTTTATTTGCACTGAAAATGAAGAAACAGATTAACTCTGTAAGTTAAATTCAAGCTCACATGCTATCTGCATTCTATTTATTGCTTTGAAAGTTCTAAAGCAACACCTGGTGGATAAAATAATCCATCCTACTCACAAATCCAGGAATTTCACACGCTGTCTCCCGATTGTTCTGCTCTGGGTCACAGTAGATTCGTAGCTTTTGGACATCAAACTGGAAACACAAAACCAGTCAAGTTAAAGTTGAGGCCCAAACAAACTGCCTTATAAAAAGCAACTCAGATATACAGAAGCAGTCACTGTAGTTAGCAACAATGTGACACAGATCAAAGCACTTATCTTTGATAACAATAAAATACAATAAATAATAAAAACACAAAATTTGAATTCTTGACATACAGTATAAAGACATGATGCAATGTAACTTCCAAGGAAAACTTTGCTAGCACCAAACACAAATCTCTGGTTTCCTTGGGAAACCCAGTGGTACTTATGTAGTATCCTTGTATTAAGAGCTCCTCTAGAAAGCGTTTCCTGGACCACCAGAAAGTTTTCCCAGGCTTTCCGTGTTCAGCCTGCATCTCTCCACATCCCTGATTGCACAGAGTAGGCTCAAGAAACCATCTTTGGTTTCCAAGATTTAGTTGTTGGCACAGAGAGCTGTGTGATGAGTAAACCCAACACCTCTTACTATTTAAATATTTACTACAATTTGGCATTAGTACATAGAGACCATAATCATACATCTGAATATGACACCATCTTCTCTTGATAGAAACAGAGTGAGAAAAACATACCTTTTCAAATAAAGGATTTTTCAAGACATGGCTTGAAATATACACCTCTCAACCCATAATAGATATGCTAGCTTAAAAGAATACCAGAACAGTCACAGTTTTGCTTATGAAAATCCTGACACACATTAATCTAATTTTATCCTCACAGCTGTAAAGAAATTTTTATAACCACCACTCACAACTTTAATCACATTCTCTTTTCCAAATTCATGATATAATCTATGCTTCTCCTGGGAAATATGAAATTAATGTTTCATAATAGCATAGAATTCTACCATGTACTCAGGAGAACATATTTCTAAGAATTATTATATTAAGTCTGATTTTTCATTTTCATACATACACAAACATACGACCACTTTTTGATTAAGTCCCTTAAAGGAATTAAATATAATTAAATGTGATAAATACTATCACCAAAGCTCCATTTTATAGGATGAAAACAGCAAATCATTTTTACTCACCTGAACAGTTTCTTCTTTCCCAGAGTATTTTCCAATTTGGGTTTGCCCACTGATGAAGATCCCTAACACTGGATGTAACGGCTTGATTTCAATTTGTTGATCATCAATAAACAGAGTTACATCTTGTTCTGTTACTAAGAGACGAATTTGATGCCAGCCTTCATCAAATAATGTCTATAGGAAGGGAATACAGGAGGTTCATAAAGAGAATTCCTAGCAATCTTGTATCTTCTTTGTCTCTATTCTTTAGTCATCAACCATAAATCCATACCACGCAGATTGGTTGTATCATATTCTAACTCACCCTGACCCAAGCTGGGTCCCAAAGGCCAATACCCACCAGTCACTTTATTAATCCCTACATGAGTTTCCATCACTCATTCCCAAGAAGCTGGACCAAAGTGTCTGTGTAAACAACTCCCTCAAGGTCACAGAAAAGTTCCTCATGTCCCAGTTCAAGTGGCTTCTTTCATCCCCTCATCCTACGTACTTCATAGCAACCGTGGATCATGTAACTAGTCCGTCCACTTTGACAGTCTCCGCCAAACCTTCTTCCTCTCCTGATTTCCATGAAATGATATTAATAATATCCCCCGTTTTTAAACCACAGCAAGCACCCTTACCTCCTCCTCCTTACCTCAGTTGCCATAACAAATAGACGCAAAATTCCAGCAAGGATGTGTTTAAGCAGAACTCAGATTCACTTCTGCACTGCCCTTCTCTGTCATAATTTAGGCTCACAGGTATCTTGCTTTGTTTGAATAATTTTTTTTGTTTGAATAATTTTTAAACACATCTCAATCTCTGTCCCTTCCCTCTCCAAGCCAACCTAGAATTCTCTACCAGAATTAATCTCAAGTCCCCATCTTTATAATTTCTGTATTCCTTGGACCAAGCCCAGTTCCAGGAAGGAGTCAAAGGTATTCTTCATGAAGGGGAAGGAGCAGAGGAGAGAGCTGCTTAGATCCTGACAGGACAGTGACCGAGACTTTCTGATGGAATTCCATCATTGACTGAATGAAATGCAAAACCGCGTGTACAGTTCCCAGGCCCACGTCCACATACAAGACACAAGTTTGAACTTATACCTGGCTAGCTTTGTCTGTGTGTGAGTATCTTATACTCGAAACACAAGGGGCACCACATTCTATTCTCTACATAAAAACCCTGCACTTTACTACACGTGACTCCTTAGTAATGAACCACTGATTCCCGTGTCCTCTCTTTCCATCAAAATCCTATACATCCTGTATAATGGGCTCCAGTTTCATCCATCTCAATAGACCAATACAGTATACTAATGCATATATATGGAATTTAGAAAGATGGTAACAACCCTATATGCAAAACAGAAAAAGAGACACAGATGTACAGAATAGACTTTTGGACTCTGTGGGAGAAGGCAAGGGTGGGATGTTTTGAGAGAACAGCATCAAAACATGTACATTATCTAGGGTGAAACAGATCACCAGCCCAGGCTGGATGCATGAGACAAGTGCTCGGGCCTGGTGCACTGGGAAGACCCAGAGGAATCGGGTGGAGAGGGAGGTGGGAGAGGGGATTGGGATGGGGAATACATGTAACTCCATGGCTGATTCATGTCAGTGTATGACAAAAACCACTACAATATTGTAAAGTAATTAGCCTCCAACTAATAAAAATAAATGGAAAAAAAAATAAAAATAAACAGGGATAAATCTCAGAAAATCCTATACATCCTTCAAAGCCCATTCCAGAAACCAACTCATGTATGAAGACTTGCCCACATTTTGTATTGGAATCCACTTTTTCTTCCACACTGCAGTAACATTTTGCACTTCTATGAGATACCAGAAGCACTGGATATCACATTATAAATAAGTTCATTTAGGTGAGAAACATGCCATATTCATTTGCCACTTCTTATAGAAACCAGCACGTTGACTTTAATGAAAACAGCAGACCACGTTTTAAATTTATTCTTCTCACCAAATGAAGAAATTGCAAAAATGCATAGTTCCATGTACAGCCTTGTATATTTCCTAAATTATATAACATACTATTAGACTGTTATCATAATCATCAAAGTGTAATTGTTTTTATCATGATATCTGTATTCTGAACACATGTGCCTTGGAAAATACACTTTTAGTTTATGTATTTTATTAAATGTATGTTCCTTCAGGGGATATAAACTGTCCCCCTAATAAATGCAAATTCTATATCCTTATCTACCTGTATTTAATGTTCTGACAAATGTGACTTTACCTCAATATCCTGTAGGACATGGCAGTATAAAGCAGACCAACATGGACTTTGAAACTGACTAGACCAAAATTGAATTCCTGATGTCACAATATACTAGCCATGCTAGTTAGAGGGAGAACTTAATATCCCTGAACATTTTTTTTTTCCTGTAAAATGAGAGCAATAGCTTCTTCCTTGGGTGGTTATTATAAGTAAATATTCCTGGCACTTAGAAGCAAGCACTGAAAAATATGATTTTCCCCATCCCACAATCTCACATGAATTAAGACAGATTTTCACCAAAATGGAGTTGCCAATATGGTCCACTCCTGGTTATATATCCAGACAATATACTATACTTCAAACAAAACTATACTTCAAAAAGATGCATGCATCCCTATGTTCATAGAGACATGGAAACAACTTAAAATGCCCATCAACAGATGAATGCACAAAGAAGATGTTATATATGTATATATATGTTTTATATATATGTATATATAATGGAATGCTACTCAGCCATAAAAAGAATGAAGTAATGTCATTTGCAGCAACATGGGTTAGATTATCACACTAACTGAAGCAAGCCAGAAAGAGAAAGACAGACACAGTGTGATACCCCTGATATCTGGAATCTAAAATAGGACACAAAAACTGATCTAAGAAAGAGAAACAGACTCACAGACACAGAGGACAGAACTGTGGCTGGCAGGAAGGGCGGGTGGGATGGAGTGTGAGGCTGGGGTTAGCAGATGCAGACTGATACTTATGCAATGGATAAGCGACAAGGTCCTTCCCAGTATAGAGCAGAGAGCATTATATTCAACATCCTGTGAGAAACCATAATGGACAAGAATATGAAAAAGGATAACATATATGTATAAATAAATCATTCTGCTATACACCAGAAATTAACACCCACTGTAAATCAACTATACTCCAATAATTAAAAAATGCTAAGTTTCTTCCTTTGCTGCTTCTGTTCAGTAGGCGAAATTACATTACGAAATCAGTATCTTTTCAGTCATCTTAAATTATGGCCCTCCTCTCCCAAAACACACCAACTTAACGGTAATTCCCCATGAATACCACAATCACACCCAGGCATCTTTACCTTAACTCGAGGGTCAGCAAAGGTGACCACTTGTGAGCCATTAATGTTGCTGGTTGTTGTAAATAATAATGTTTTATCCACTCCATTTAAGGTAACTGCTATTTGTGGCCTTCCATCAATGGTTAAAATTCTCCACAAATCCCATATTTTCTTGACCTTAAATCTCTGAGTGGAGACAAATACGTATGATGGAGGAAGACCTTCTGGGAAAACATTGCTGGAAAAAGAAGAATGTGTATGAGCTTAAAGAATTCTCAAAATGTCTACAGATTTATCAAGAAAAAACTGTATCAACATATAACATTGTGGGGGGATGGGAGAGAGGTTCAAAAGGGAGGGTATGTCTGTATACATATAGCTGATTCACTTTATTATACAGCAGAAACTAGCCCATTGTAAAGCAATTACGCTTCCCCGGTGATTCAGACCGTAAAGAATCTGCCTGAAGTAAGGTAGACCGGGGTTCGATCCCTGGGTGGGGAAGATCCTCTGGAGGAGGAAATGACAACCCACTCCAGTACTCTTGCCTGAAGAATACCATGGACAGAGGAGCCTGGTGGGCTACAGTTCACAGGGTCACAAAGAATTGGACACAACTGAGTGACAAACACACATGAAAATAATAAAATAAAATAGAAAACTACATATAACATTTACCTTGTGAATTCTGATAAATCAACTTTGGATGTTATTTCATATCCTTTAATCTTTGTTGGTGAAAGCTGAATTCTCTTCTTAGCCTTTTTCTTTATACCCAAGCCTAAAAGAATATCAAACCCCTTCTCATCACGTGCTGCCACTGGAATTCTTGTTGGACAGACAGATTCTATGAAGGAAAGGGCGTAAAAGTTGATTAATCATGGGTTACTTCAACAACAAAGAAAATTAAGGGAGGAATAAAGAACATAGAATTATAAAATCTCTATATGCACACAAACATACATAAATGTATTTCTGAGAAAACATTTTTCTTTTGTTTTCAGAGTGTTTTTGTTACTTGATGATGGAGTCTTATCTTCCTTCTCCCTAAAAGAGGATGAAATATAAGACAAATATCTGTTCATGAACTGTTTTAAGGGCAACACTGTGCTGAAGCCTACATGTCACTGTTTGACTGTGAGGCCACTTAACACCTGGGCTGCGGTGGAGGGCTGGAGCAGGACTTCTGCTTCTCATCCAGGACCGTCCGGTAGCCACACACCCTTGGATAACACTCTTGAACTTCTTGGATCCGGGAGATGAACTCTGACTGCTTTCTTGCTTTCCCAGCATGTGAGAGGTAAGAAAAAACATGTGTGTTGTTCCTCATATTCTTTCCAGTTCTAGCAGTTTATAATCTTACAGTTTAAATGCCATTGGTTGTCTCACTCTGGAAAAAACTTAACTGCCGGTCTTTTCTGTTCATGGAAATTCTTCAAATGGGCCTATTATCTCATCTATGATTAATCGGATTATATATTCTATTAATCACATTCATAAATGAACAAAGACTTTTTCCATAAGAAGAGTCATTAAGGTTTGTATTATACAGTCATCTATATAAATTATAAAAATGTGATGTGCTTTTCAACTATCTGGGAAACTAGTGTCTCAAATTATGTGGAAAATTCTGTACAGTTGAAATGCTATTAAGCTGTTATAGTGTAGGAATGTTGCAATATTTTCAGATTCTTCCAAGGCCATCCTATAATATACACACTGAGCCTGACTGCTTACATTTTATAGAGCAGCCAACAGAATATAAAAAGAAGAAACTCCACAAAATGTGCTTTAAGATAATCATTCTCCTGAAAAACATTAAAGAGAGGGAACAGCATCATATTTATTCTATAATAAAAAGTAATGAGATGGATTTTATTAGGTCAATAATACTGTCATAACTTGTACCACAGAATGCTGAAACTAATTAAAGTTTTGTTATAAATAAAACTAGATGTATTCCTGAGAAGATACGGATATTTGCATCTTCAGGTCTGAGGATGCTGAGTTGTTTAGCCTGCTTGTTTGTTTCTTATTCTGTTTTTGCTTTCTTTGGTTGCAGTTGTCTGTTTATTTGTTTTGGCCACAGAGCGCATCATGGGGGGTCTTAGTTCCTGACCAGGGATCAAACTTACGCTCTGTGAAGTGGAAGCTTGGTGTCTTAAAGACTAGACACCCAGGGAAGTTCTGGGGTTTTGCTATTTAAATAGCTTTACTGAGCCAAATTGAGATACAATAAACCAAACATAAAGTATGCAAGAAACCAAACATAAAGTTTACAATCTGATTAGTTTTGACACATGTATATACCTGTGAAACTATCTCCACTGACGAAGCAATGAACATGTGCATCTGGCCCAAAAGCTTCCTTATGTTCCTTGCAGTCTGCTCTGATCACCACTCCTGTCCCAATCCCATCCGCATTCCCAGGCACCACTGTCTCCTGTCACTACAGGTAAGTTTGAATTTCATACAATTCTACAGAAATGGAAGCGTATTGTTTGTCCTCTTTCTTGTCTGGCTTCTTTCATGCAGCATGATTATTTTAGATCCACTCTGGCTATTGTCTCAGTAGTTCATTCTTTTTGAAGGCTGATTAGTGTCCATTGTATGGATATATCACAATTATCTATATGCTTGCTGATGGACATTTGGATCACTAATACTGCAAATAAAATTAAGTTTTGATATAAATAGAATTTGATGTATCCCTGGGAAGGGAGGGGTATTTTCCTCTCAGATCACAGGTTGCTGAGTTTTGAAGGACCTAATCAATCACATTCTTCTTCCTCTAGGAAGCTTAGCTAATGAGAAGATATAGAAACTGTGCAAGCAGAAGATGCTGGTTAGGGGTGTGATCCAGAGCATCTGATGAGACAGTGAGCTGTAATTAACCACCCCGCCTGGCAGCCCAGCAGGTCTGATTCATTCCCCAACCATCCGAGGAACAGGACTTGCCCCTAAGCTCACACAGGACCCAAAGAGAAAAGGGAGTTCCAGCTTCACACGCCTATCCATCCAAAAACAAAAAGCTAAAGGCACTTTGCCAACATGACCATCTACTTTTCTCAGACGCCCTTATCTGAAGACGCATTTTCTCACTAGTGGTAAGGAGTGAAAGAAGGTGGAGAAAGGTCAACCTTGACACTCATTGCAGCATTGCTTTTGATTTGAATGAGAACTCCCAAAAAATCTTTGCCTATACCTAGAAAAGAGCCAACTCAAGTGAACTTTGAGCAGAGAAGTGACAAATTAGACTTCACTATTAAACCATCTTTACATTTTGAAATAATCCATGTTCTGACAAATATTATTCTTTTACTACATTACTGAATTAATTTGTCTTTTCACCTCTACTTAAAACTGAGATTTCTTATCATTTAAAAACTCATTTTAATGTAAAATCAAGACAACTTATTAAAAGAAGAGCTAATCTAGCTGAAGCTCCTTCACATGAAAACACAAGAAGCAGGGAATAAATGTGGTACTAATGCTGTATTACATAACTGAAATCGTAAATCAATAAATTAAATTCTTCCTGTCATTATGATGCAAGATTTGTTCCTGGCAGGGGGCAGGGTAATACAGAACAACATGAAGCCTCATTTCAAATGCATTTGATTTAAAATTGCAAAAGAAAGAAGCTTATTTGAAAAGAAAATGTGTTAAACATTATATCATAAGAATAGTCAGATTTGAATTGCTCTTTTGATTTGTTTTACCAAAGAGAAGTTATAAGATATTAGACAAAGAGCTCCAACTGAAGATCAGAATCTGAGGTTTAGACCAAAGCCTCGCTCTTAACCTCTCACGAGTCTCTGGCCCCTCATCTGTGAAGTGAGAATAATGCCCTCCTTCACAGGGCTTGTCTGATGATGTATGTGGAAATGCTTCATAACTTCAAAATAGCATGCAAGTGTGGGGAAGAAAGCAAGTACTGTGTTCATCCTTTTTCTATAATCAAATCTTTTGCACTGTATTCTATTAATAATGCCCAGGATTGCATAGGAAACAGTGTGGCACAGTGCATGAAATCAAAAATGTATATTAATAATCACACTATAGCCATGGTTTCATTAACATCCAGCACATCTCATTAGTGATCATGCATGCTCAGTCATGTCCAGCTCTTTGCAACCACACCGACTGAAGCCCGCCAGGCTCCTCTGTCTGTGGGATTTTCCAGCAAGGACACTGGAGTGGGCTGGCCATGCCCTCCTCCAGGGGATCTTCCCAACCCAGGGCTCTAACCCGTGTCTACTATGTCTCCTGCATTGCAGGCAGATTGTTTACCACTTGAAACCCCCTCATTAGGGAAAATGTATTTAAATATTTACATTTTATTTTTCTATCAGCTTTCAATTTTTTAATTGTAAAGTAAACATAAAATTTATCCTTTTGACTATTTTTAAGTGTAAATTCACTACCATTAAGTACATTCAAATGTTGTATATCTACCGCCACTATTCCAGGGAACCAGAAAAGAAAACAAGGAAAAACTCCACAAAAGCAGAAAAGCTTCAATTTTCAGAAATAGAAGCTTTGTACCCATTGGACAATAACTCCTCATGTTTCTCTCTTCTCAGCCCCTGGTACCCTCATATTTTCTTGAAGGAATAATCTTTCTTCCCTATTTGCTCGCCTACAAGAACAATAAAATATCCTTATACACAGGAACTAAAAAGTAAAATGTAGCTAAAATGCTCAAATGCAGTTTGCATATTTGCATACACCTAGCTATGGGAATGGAGAAGGAACTGGCAACCCACTCCAGTACTCTTGCCTGGAGAATCCCAGGGACGGAGGAGCTTGGTGGGCTGATGTCTATGGGGTCGCACAGAGTTGGACACGACTGAAGAGACTTAGCAGCAGCAGCTTCAATGAGGAGAAGGCAATAGCACCCCACTCCAGTACTCTTGCCTGGAAAATCCCATGGACGGAGGAGCCTGGTAGGCTGCAGTCCATGGGGTCGCTAAGAGTCGGAAACGACTGAGCGACTTCACTTTCATTTTTCACTTTCATCATTGGAGAAGGAAATGGCAACCCACTCCAGTATTCTTGCCTGGAGAATCCCAGGGACAGGGGAGCCTGGTGGGCTGCCGTCTATGGGGTCGCACAGAGTCGGACACGACTGAAGCGACTCAGCAGCAGTTATGGGAAACAGGTAAAAGAAAGTTTCCATACATAAAAAGCTACTTTGATTGCCAACCAAAACCTTCCAGGGAAATAAAGGTAAACAACTAACTTCTCTATAGTGTCCTAAAAAGATGTATGTTAAAGCATGCAACCAATTTCCATTGGAAATTGGAAATAAAAATTGGAACTTGGAAGTTATTTTAAGGACCAAGAAAATCAAATGCTAACAGAGTCAGTCAGAGGATAATACCCACAACAGGTAAGTAGAACAATCTAGATAAAGCAAGTTAGTTTGAAGAAGTACATTTAGGAGCAAGGACAAAAAAAGAAAAAGAACTCAAGATCTAAGTTCTCAAGTGCAGGAAACTAAACAGTTGTAATTTTATCCCAATATGTACAGAGAGTATTCAGGAAAGGAATGCTTTCTAGAACAAGCATGAATCACTCCAACTTATTTTAAACACTAGGGTGCAGTAATAATTGCTTTCTGTTAAATCTAAGAGCTAAGTAATAAAAGTAATTCAGTCTTATCAGGGTCATAAAAACGTGTTCTATTTAAAATCCTACCATAGTCAGGGACAGAAAACCTGTTTATCTTTTGAGTCTGACCAGGATGATTACATATGTCCAGCTACTCCTTTCTGTGTGTGCTCGTCTGACTTTGGTGACCCGACTATAGCTTGTCAGACTCTTCTGTCCATTTGATTTTCC